ATAAATAAATAAATTTTATTAAAAATAATTTTCAGTTTTACTAATTTGAGTAAAGGTAATACAAGATTTAACAAATAATTGTGAGTGTAAAACGAAAGTAAAAATTTTTAATAGTTAAAACCCCACCAAATCAGTAATTTAAAAATTTTGAAAAAAATAAAAAAAATAAATTATTATTACACCATTTAATCGATCATACCATTTATTTAGAAGTGATCTAAATAAGATAAGTCAGCGAATTACCATATCTCACATTAATGATTTATCAACTAAAGACACTCTTAATCTTCTGATTAAGTAAATATGAATTTGTTTTATCATTATTTATAAATATAGCATGGATTTATTGGGGGAAAAAAACGAAGAAAAAAAAATTATATTAAACAAAAATGTATAAGAAAAAAAAAACTCGTTTAATTTTTAATTAAATTATTTAATTTATAAAATTATTTAAATTATAATTTTTAAAAAAATTATAAATTAAATTTGATATAAATAATAAAATTTTATAATTTTTTATTTATGATTATAAATAAAAAAATTAACAAATTATCTATTACATAATATTTAATATTATAATTTTTATGATATAAATAAATTAAATAAGTTAATTTTATTAAAAATAATTTTCAATTTTACTAATTTAAGTAAAGGTAGTACATGATTTAAAAAATAATTGTGAGGGTAAAACGAAAATAAAAATTTTTAATAGTTAAAAACCACCAAATCATTAAGTTAAAAATTTTGAAAACAAAAATAAAGAAATAAAGTACTATTACACCATTTAATCGACCATACTATTTATTTAGAAATGATATAAATAAGAAAAATCAACGAATTAACATATCGCAAATTAATAATTTATTAACCAAAGACACTCTTAATCTTCTGATTAAATAAATATTAATTTATTTTATTCTTATTTATAAATATAGCATGGATTTATTGGGAGAAAAACAAAAATATATATATATATTAAATGAAAATGTATAAGAAAAAAAAATTCATTTAGCTTGTAAAATTATTTAAATTATAATTTTTAATAAATTTTTTTTAAAAAATTATAAATTAAATTTAATATGAAGAATAAAATATTATAATTTTTTATTTATGATTATAAATTTAAAAAAATTAATAAATTATCTATTATATAATATATAATATTATAATTTTTATGATATAAATAAATTAAATAAATAAATTTTATTAAAAATAATTCAGTTTTACTAGTTTGAGTGAAGGTAATACAAGATTTAACAAATAATTGTGAGGGTAAAACAAAAACAAAAACAAAAATTTTTAATAGTTAAAAACTACCAAATCAGTAATTTAAAAAATTTGAAAAAAAAAAACAAAGAAATAAATTAGTATTACACCATTTAATAGACCATACCATTTATTTAGAAATGATATAAATAAGATAAATCAGCGAATTACCATATCGCAAATTAATAATTTACTAACTAAAGACACTCTTAGTCTTCTGATTAAATAAATATGAATTTATTTTATCCTTATTTATAAATATAGCATGAATTTATTAGGGAAAAAACAAAAAAAATATATATATATATATATATTAAATAAAAATGTATAAAAAAAAACTCATTTAACTTGTAAAATTATTTAAATTATAATTTTTAATAAAATTTTTTTAAAAAATTATAAATTAAATTTGATATGAAGAATAAAATTGTAACACCCAAAATATTTTTTTATATTATTTTTATTTTTATTTTAGTATTTAAATTTTTTAAATTTTAATTTAATTTAGTGAAAATAAAAATAATAATAATAATAAAATTAAGTAAAAATATTATTTAGATTTAATTGAAATTGATTTTGAGAAAAATCAGTAAATTACCATATTACACATTAATGATTTATCAACTAAAGACATTCTTAAATTTTCTGATTAAGTAAATATGAATTTGTTTTATCCTTATTTATGAATATAGCATGGATTGGTTGGGGGAAAAAAAAAAAGAACAAAGAAAAAAGAAAATATTTTGGAAATTTGCTCTGGAAAATGATGTGGATGACTCTAGGATTTAGGGTTTAGATTATTATTATAATATTTAATAAATTATACTATTTATTTAGAAATGATCTAAATAAGATAAATCAGTAAATTACTATATCGTACGTTAACAATTTGTCAACTAAAGATACTCTCAATCTTCTGATTAATTAATTATGAATTTGTTTTATTTTTATTTATGAATATTACATGGATTTATTGGAGGGAAAAAAACAAAGAATAAAGAAAATATTTTGAAAATTTGCTCTGGAAAATGATGTGGATGACTCTAGGAGAAATGGACGATAGTGTTGCTGACGTCATAGCTGACTTCACCTCCAATCATTCTTCGCATCTTTGTTCCAAGAATCAATAGTTCCCAGTACGACGTCGCTCTGAAGCTTCCCCTTTTCAGATAAGGTTTCTTTTTTTTTTTTCTTACACGTACCAGTCGGCCCTTACCAAATCAATCACATAATGTTTCCACTTTTCCTTACTCACACCAAAGGTAGGTAGAGCCAGCGGTAGACGATTGGACACGAACACGTAGGCGAACGGTCAACCAATCATTAGACTCCACGTGGCATCTAGAATACATAAAGTCCAAATCCAAATGCTGCTTCCAATCGCATTTTAACGAGAAACGTGTAAACCCGATACAAGGCGCTTTTGTCCTCATTTTACCAGCGCAGCTCTTCCCGGAATCAAGGAGGGGCGAAGGCCGAACAACACAACAACTCCAACCATGGCTATAGAGATCAAAGCGACACCGTTTACCTTCGTCGCACATGCGCTCGCGTTTGCGGCTTCGGTTATGGTTTTGATCTGGTGCATCCATTTTAGAGGAGGATTAGCTTGGGAAGATACCAACAAGAGTCTAATCTTCAACGTAAGTCTCTAAAATCTCCCTCTCTCTTTCTCTGCTTGCATTTCGAATTGCTTTTCGTCGATTTATTGTTCTCGTTTTGTCTGTTTTCTTCCCCGCGGGTGATTTTGTCAGTGGCTACTGTTGACGATTATTTATTCGGTTTCATATCTTACTCAAATTTATTAGGTTTCAACTCTTAATCGGTTAATTGAATCTCCTCAAGTTTTCATGTTTGAATACGATAATCTTATCAGCTTCAACTCAATTAAATTTCTAGGATAATCATGATTTTCTCTCTGCGTTGTTCTGATTTTCGGTTTTCTTTTCGTTAGTCTGTGATTTGATCGGGGGCACTCCGGTTTACACTAATTTATTTTGTTCGTATCCGCAGAAGTTCGTGTAGCTTCTTTTTCCAAACTCTGATTTAATCTTCGACATTAGATACTAGTTAATTGTCTGGCACATGCTTGCTTAGTTTACCCTTTTCCCCTTTTTGTTGTTTGGATGGTAATTACAAAAATAAAAAATAAAAAACTCGAACCAGGAATGTTTCTTTGATTATGGAATTCAACGTATCCTTGGAATAATTTCTATTTCACATTTGATTTTTTGCGCAAGTGTTGTATCTTTTTATTTTAAAAAATAAAAAATAAAATTTGGAGTTTCTTGAAACATGTCATCTATTATAAAAAATAATAATAATAATTTCTATTACTATACAAAATATGTTGCATCATCATGCGCTGGACGAGCTTATCCATTTTGAACACATCCATGTATTTCTATGTGTGGTAAGCATTTTTGTGGTGCCAATCAAAAGAGACTATATATGGCTGTTCGAGTAATTATAAACTTTACAGGGTGGATTCGTATTGTTAGCTTTGAAATTTTAAGTAGATTCTCAAATTATTGAAATATTTAAATAATTTTTTAACTTAATAATGATAGTAATAGTTGTTATTTCAGTTGGATTATAATAATTTTTAATTTTGGACCCAAAAAAAAAAAAACACATTAGTAATGTATAATTTTGGTTAAGTAATTGTGTTGAACAAATTTTTATTTGACTGATAAAAAATTAATAACTTATTTATACAGTTAAAAATATACGATTTTTCTAAAAATTTAACTTGATAGATTTAAGATAGTAGAGATTTTGAACGAAGCTGTTGTACTTTGCTTGCAGATTCACCCTGTGTTGATGGTAATTGGGTTCGTTATCATGGGAGGAGAAGGTAAGTATCCTTTAAAAGTTGAATGGAAATAGATAGATTGATTAGTGTGATACGATGAATTAATTGATTAATGGGGTTTTTTTTTTAAAAAAAAAAAAAAAAAAACTTGTGAATGCAGCTATAATGAGTTACAGAGCACTTCCCATGAGGAAACAAGTGAAGAAGCTAATACATTTAATCCTCCACGGCATTGCACTAATACTGGGTATTGTGGGTATCTATGCCGCCTTCAAATTTCATAACGAGAGCGGCATTGCCAATCTCTACAGCTTGCATTCCTGGCTTGGCATCGGTGTCATTGTTCTCTACGGTATCCAGGTAAACGGCCGGAACAACTCTTGGGCTTTTGAGTATGTTTCTGGTAGGAATATCTGTCTTCATCGTATCTTGGGCTTATAGAAGACCCATCTCATATCCATCAAGCCCTTCTTTACTTCTGTGTAATTGGGTCGACCCCTTACAACTATAATTTTGCATGCAATACTGACTACCATGTTGTCTTCTATACGTCACTGGCAGTGGGGGTACGGGTTCCTTGTCTTCTTCTACCCTGGCGGGACCACAGCGCTGAGAAGCGATTCACTTCCTTGGCACGTGGCGGCCGGAATGTTCGTGTACGCATTGGCAGTCGGCAACGCAGCCATAGGGTTTCTTGAGAAGCTGACTTTCCTCGAGAATTCAGGGCTTGCCAAATACGGAGCGGAGGCCTTCCTTGTCAACTTCACTGCACTTGTCACAATACTCTATGGTGTCTCTGTGTTTTTCTCTCTTCTTTCTCGGCCTCCAGCCGCCGACGACGGCAATAGCTGCTATTCACCTATATGACATCGTATACGTACATATATAGTTTTGCCTATATCAGATCACGTACTGTTGGCAAACAGAATATTGTTGCCTGGTTTCTAATCGATGTTAGCGCGAAAGCTATCTGGGTCCATAAGGTAATTGTATCGCTTCCGTAGGTTGGTTATGAGAAAATTAAATAGCAGTGGAATACTTTCTGTTAATAATAAGAAATATTAATCATGGGGTGTAATTTATTTTCACTAATTTTAAATTATTCCAAAAATAATTCAGTTTTCCCCCTCGAAGAAATAATTGAATATAATTAAAATAAATAAATAAATAATTTATTTTTCGAAAAAGATATTTTTATTTAATAAAATAAGCAAACCACGTGACGGTGTCCGCAATAAGGAGAATGGACCGCGTTCGAAGATGACGCAAGCCCACCTAATCTAAGTATCCAACGTAGAGTAGAAAATCTTTTGAAGTTTTGTCAGGTGAAACTTGAAAATCACAACGCACCATTCTTTTTTCTTTAAAAATATTATAATATTTTATTAAAAAAAATTATATATTAAGATATTATTTTTTAATTTAATTTTCAATTTTTTTTATAATTTTCAGAAATAAAAACGTGTTGACACAAAAATCATGAGGTTACATATTAACACAATGAAAATTTGTATGCACATTAAATTTCTTCGCTAAATAAGTATAATCCGTTAATCTCGGTTGTCATTTTTTACAATAATTTTCCTCTTGTCAATATTAGTAGTTGTATTTTCATCATTCGCGACCATGATTAAGTCACGTGCAAAAATAAATTACGCGTAGTAAATTTATGACGGTAAAGTTAAAAACAGTACTTTTGATTTTTGTTTGTTTAAATTTTAGTTGAAAACACAATAAAAATAATAATAATTTTTAAAATTTTCTATCTCGGAAATATATTACAAAATGACAGAAAATTACTAGTAGGGAATTTATTAAAAAAATTTTGAACATAAAAAACAAGGAATTATAAAAAAAGCTTGGAAGCATTTGATTAGATTTTTTTTTTGGGGGTATGCAAACATAGAACAATTGGAACCTTTCATATTTCTCATACATTTGAGCTAAAATCCTGTTTTATGAAAGTGATGACTTTAAATTATTTTTGTTGGCAATAGAAGAAAATGACATGTTGTTTTCTCTAATTAAAAGATGAAATGAAGCTTCAACTTCCAAATTTTTTTTAAAAAATATTTTTTAATACGTTTTTTACGAAATTAATTTATGTATAAAATTTACGATGAATATTAAAGTAATTATCTTATGTTTATTTAATTAAAACTAAATTTAATTATGTTAGAATGAAAATTTAGTTTTTAAAATTAAATTTAAATATTTAATTTTAATTATTTATAATTAATTAAGCAATTTTAATTTAATTTCAAATTATAAAACAAATATTAGAATTTATTGTTTTTTTTTTATTTTTCTAATGTAATTTTATTTATAGGAATTTTTATTGATAAAGCAAAACGATTAAATTAAAATTTCCCAGAAAAATACATATTAATCCACAATTCATTTAATTATTTGGGTCCCCACAAAGTTAAACATTTATCTTATCTAAAACCCCATAACTTAACATGACTTAATGGGGAAAGTAATCACTTCCTAATCAAGATTAGGAGAAATCAAAGAAGATGTCAATTTTCCAAATATTGAAAACAGCAAAAAAAAAAAAAAAAAAAAAACCCATTTTCTAATAAATTTTACAAATTTTAAATTGAATTATTAATTAATAAATGTGAGTGTCAATTTCTTAAGTAATTTATAAAAATAATTAAGGTAATTAAAAGATTATTGATAATTTGATTTAAGATATTAATTATTTTTTTCTAATTACGTAAATTACACACAACATCACCCGCAAACGTCACTCTTTGCCAACGCATAATAAACCATTTGTACCTACCGACCAGCTCAGCCAGTTGAAACGACGGTTAACATACACTCTTCTCTTCACCCTTCCTTTCTGAACTGTAATGTCCTCGACCAACTGATTCTCATTTCCTCTCTCTCAGTTTTTTTTATACTTCTGCAAAATCTTATCTGTTTGAATTGTTCTTTTTACGAAGAAGACTCTCTGGTAATAAATTGATTTACCTTGTTTATTCCTGTTTCCTTTTGGGTTCTAAATGAGTTAATTTTGGATTTTCTTTTGGGAGTCAAGTGAGGAGTTCTGGTGGTGTCGTCGTCTCAATTTTAGAGAAGAAAAATGGCAGAGGAGCCAAAGAAGATAGAGTCCGAGACACCGACTGAGCCTCCGTCGAATCCGGCACCCGAACCCGTCGAAGCTCCCAAAGATGCGCCCGAAGAGAAATCTGTGATTCCTCCTCCTGAAGAGAAGCGCGATGATGAGTCCAAAGCACTTGTTTTAGTCGAAAGTACTTTCTCCTGTCTCTCTCCGCTTTTTATTTAATTCTTAATCTCCGTTTGGTTGATTGGAGAGATTAAAAGAGAAATTTATTCGCGGGATGTATGATTGTGTTCTTATATATCGAATTTCTCTGTTAATGGCAGAGGCCCCGGAACCAACCGAGGTAAAAACCACTGAGGGCTCTGTTAATCGAGGTAAACAAAAAAGTTCAAACATCTGGATTTTATCTAAATTAATCCTGATAAATATTGAATTAATCGAATTTAATTTTTCTATTATTTAATTTTTGTTTCCTGTAGATGCTGTGCTTGCTAGAGTGGAAACAGAGAAGAGGGAATCACTGATCAAAGCTTGGGAGGAGAGTGAAAAATCAAAAGCAGAAAACAAGTAATCAAGAGCTTTCTTCAGCAAATAATATGCTTTCTAATCATAAATTATTTAGGGTTTTCTTTTCCGTATGTAACGAACTAAAGCTTTGTTTTGCAAAACTTTTAAACAGAGCACATAAGAAACTTTCTGCGATTGAAGCTTGGGAAAACAGCCAGAAAGCATCTATTGAGGCTGAGCTCAAAAAGATTGAGGTGAAGCTCAATTTTCCTTCGTTTGTTCTTTTGACTCTCTGGGTTTTTTTAATTAAAGTTAATTAAGTGGTTAATTATTTCAAATGCTTTGTCTTAAAAGGGACGTCCCAACTTTATCATTAGTCAAAAAGTTGATAATAATATTTGAGAATCCAGCTTAATCAATAATGAGAGCATACTTGAATTGGGTTAAAAGTTGATTATAATCATTTACCTAATTTTAACTTTCTGGTAATTCCATAATCGTAGAGAAAAGCTTATGGTTATCTCTTAAACAAGGAAGAAAAAGATCTTACTCATTTTTTTAAGTTAATTTCTACTTTATTCCTTCACTTAAATCATAAAACTACTCTTAATATATATATATGTATAACCACATAATAGACATCACGTGTATTTTATATTTGTTTTGTTATGTATAAAATACACACACACACACTCATATGCCTTAAAATTCTCTTGCCTACCATGTGTTGTCTATAAGAGTGACATATTACATAGGCTCGTAAATCTCAACTCACTGTTCAATGAATATAGGAGAAGTTAGAGAAGCAGAAAGCAGAGTACATGGAGAAGATGAAGAACAAAGTAGCCCTGATTCACAAGTCTGCCGAAGAGAAGAGGGCGATGATTGAAGCTAAGCGCGGCGAAGATTTTCTAAAGGCAGAAGAGACAGCTGCAAAATACCGTGCCACAGGGAGTGCACCGAAGAAGCTCATCCTTGGTTGCTTCTGAGTCTACAAGACAACCCTCAAAGAAAATTTCATGTATTTGTATATTTCTCCATTTCAGGCTATTCCAATTCGTTGTTTGTTCTGTTTGTTTATGTGGTGAAGTGGGTCAGTTATCATTATTGTGTGTGTATAGTGTATATTATTGTCATATCTTTGCCATTTGGGTAAAAACTTTTTAACTTATTGAATTTGTAAGAAACCATTTGTGTCAACACTTTAGCTTGAAATTATGTACAGCAAACAAAGATGAAAACTTTATACGCGGATTGATTTGCTGTGTGAGCTACAGGCTGCAGCTAGAAACTTCATGTACTTATCTATAGAAAAAAAGCAGCTTTTCCTATATTAGTATAATATTGAAATGCAGAGAACAAAACCTCAAAAACTGTCCTTTCTCTTTCTATAGTCTGGTTCTTCCATATGAGAACCAAAAAGATCATGTCCAAGAATATGCAAGCATGAATCAGCTCTCGACCGAAAGACTAGTTCCAGTTTCAATCTGCTTTTGCTGTGTCTTCTCCTGGATGTTGGAGCTCGCGGTAGAATCGCCCATCACTATTCTCTAAATGAATGCCAGAGAATTGCATTTTCTGTCACACTGGAGATCAACAAAACTCAAAAAGTTATCGGTTTTTCCTTGCAAGAATTCTATATAACTCCCTCCAGGCAAATCAAACATCATCTTCAATTCGGTATCCGATGAATCAAGAAATTCATGATCTGAGGCAATGGAATCTGAACCAGCCAATATCTCTGCATTTGGCTTGTTCCTGTCATATTGTTTATCAGTAGAGTCAATGGAAGTGCCAGCTGCAGTGTGCCTAGCTCGAACAATGAGATTTGAGTCTGGTTCCGACATTTTTGAAAGAGATTTTCCCGAGAAAAGGCTTTCACATGCTTCATCGTTTTCCTCGAGAGGCTTCAGACTCTTACGAAATGATTCTCCGACCTCAGAGTTCCACAATTTGAGAAAGATGTCACACTCAGCTTTGGCTACTGATGATGACTCCATTGACAGCCTTGCCTCAGCTTCAACCCTGTTGCCTTTGCTTTCCCACTGTATCATGTGACGGGTCAAAGGGGATTCTGAATTTAAAGTTCCTGGCTCGTATGTGGAAGGGGAATGGACAATTGTCTGGTCCTTGGCAGCAAGCAGAGGCTTCTTTAGGTTGGTGTTCCAGAAGTTCTTGATCTCATTGTCTGTTCTTCCAGGTAGATGTGATGCAATGGCAGCCCACCTAAAGTCTTTATTCATTCAGTAATACACACAAAAAAAGAAGAGAACAGCAGTGTCCCGCACTATTTTTCCTAATTCTTTAGAAGTGAAAATCATTTTTTTTTAAAAAAATTCAGAAGCAAATTTAGTACTCCAAAAGGAAGAAAACAAGCAATTGAATACCTGTTACCAAGCATATAATGAAGCTGGATAATAGCCGACTCTTCTTCAGGGGAAAAAGGTCCACGCTTGATGTCAGGACGAAGATAGTTCGTCCATCGAAGTCTACAGCTCTTACCACACCGACTCAGACCTAATTGTTCTCATTCACTCAGAATCTTCTAAAGCTTCAAGACTTTTGAAATTTAAAAACTTAAAAGAAGACTGGAGTTGTATAAAAAACCAAGAGAAACATGAACTTGTAGGAAACAGAAGTGGAAAATGTCACAGAAAATTGGCTTAAAAAACCTCAAAACACTTCAAAAAGGTGATTGCTTTGACTTAACAAAGCATTAACAATGGCACAAGAGTCGACATTTCCATTCACCCAGAAGAAAAGACTCAGTTAATAAGATGTTTCAAGCGCAAATCCACTGAAACAGAAGTAAAGCAAGCTTTTGATACATGGAAGAAGAACAAACCAGATGCCAACATTAAAGAAGAAGAAGAAGAAACCTGCAAGCTTAGGAAGTGTACGCCAACTACCATGGCCATGTTCCTTGATATACTGAACCAGTAACCTGTCTTCTTCAGGACTCCAAGCTCCCTTCTTCAACTTTTCTCTATCACAACAAGGTGTCCTTCCCATGATTTCTTCTTCCAGAAACAGAGAAAATATCAAAATACCCACTTCCGCATGAAAATCAAAACCTTTAAATTTAAAACTGAGAGAAAGGCAATCAATTTCTGATGGGATTTATCAATGGAAACCTGATAATGGGTATAAATGCTTTCAGTGTTAATGTCCATAAAGAACAAAAAAAGATGGGCCAGGGGAATTTGTAATTACTATTGCGCAAAATGTAGAGGCAAAAGACAAGGACGGACGACCTTTCTTGCCTCTCGCATTTATTTCTTGTACTAACCTCAAAAGCACTGCCAGAGCTCATCAGAGTTCAAATAATTCACTGTTTCTCGAGAAACAAACAGAAAAAGAGATGAAAGTAGAACCAAGACAGACCAGTAGATGAAGAGATAGAAGACTTCAATGTGGAGAGAAGTTAGTCATGCATGCAGGATTTGAAGAAGGAGAAACTGAAGAAAATTGCAGAAAGAGAGGAGTTAAGAACGGTGAAATGTTGGGAGGTGGGTTTTGGGTTTCAAGTAGACTAATTAGTAAAATCAGCTCAGTGCTTCCTTTGCCATGTGGCGTGTTTCAGGATCTCTTCTCCGTCAAACTTTTGAGCCAATCTTCATGTCTCATGGAAATTCTGTACTAAAATGATTACAAGATCTTCTAAAAATAAGAGTTGAAATGAGTTGACATTAACTCTAAAAATTACAGAAATAAAAATTACAACACTTTATAATTAATTTTCATTCTTTTGTTACATCTCGTGTATAAATTTTTGAATTATTTGTTAAAAGAATTTAATTTGGAAGAAAATTAAATTAATTTTTTCTATTTATTTTTTTTGGGATGGAACGTCAGCACTGCACCTGAGGATTGACCAGTTTGATATTGAGTTGAGAGTTGAGGTGTTTAATTACTCCCATAGCGACAGCCTCGCGCTGCGTATGTTCGTAGTCATTTACAGTAAACTGAAATCTCTCTTCAGTCTTCACCTGCGACTGAACTGCAATTAAATCTTCCATTAAGAATACCACAATATTCATGCAGT